GTTTCCGCCCTCTGCAGATTTCAAGAAAGCTTCCAGAGCCTGGGGAGGATGAAAAACAGGCCCAACAGGCCTACTGGAAGTTCAGAAATGATCCATTTCCAAAGGGCCTCTGGGGAGGTTGGGGGACGCCGTTTTCACCCTCCCCAGGCTCCGGAAGATTTCCTGAAGCCTGGGGAGGGCAACCCCCCCCCACAGTGTGTGTGTGTTGCACGTGCATGCATGGGGGTCACATGCATATGCGCAGGTGGGCAGGGCGCATTGCATTGTGGGTGTGGGGCATGCACACACACATGCACACTATTGTGCATGCACGCAAAATCTTGGCACGTGTTTACAAAAAGGTTTGCCATCACTGCGTTAGAATGAACATTTATCCTAGTATTTAGAATAGACATTGCCCAGTTTATTAGCAAAAATTGAGAATAAATGGGCCAACTGCTTCTGAGGGTGCTACTTCACATGGGTCGGCCAGTTTTTGCAAACTTTTAAACATTCCACACCTTGGAATCTCCAACAAATAAAGCAAATAATTCTGTAGCTAGTCTGTGTCACTAATAGCATTTGAGGAGCACTGAATACAGAGGTAAGATTTCAAATACAACGCTAGCAAACTGCTGTGCTGTAATCAGTAATAACTTAATGCAATCACGGCAGGTATAAGAAGACCTGCAATACATGAAAGAGTCTTCTCAACTGGAAACTATTCCTTCCAAGCAACAATCAAAACACCAGGAGCCATGAAACCAAATTATAGTAGCTGCATGGCCACTCTATGAAGGGAAAAGGACTTTGCAAGGGGCATCTGTGTATGGAGTTTGCTGCAACTGGGGGGGGGGGGGGTTGATTTGTTTAAGGAGTAAGGGCCTGAAGAATAAAATAAGATTAAAAGATACTCCCCCCCCCCATACATAGAAACTATGTACTTTGAATTTTAAACAACTAAGGTGAGGAGAAAGCAATTTAAGCGTATAGGACCAATTTGCCCACAGTCAGCTTCTATGGTATATGCTAAGCTCCTTGCTCCAAATTATTTCTTTCTTAAATATTTCAGTTTTAAAGAAATGGAAAGTTGGCACATTGCAAAGCAAAGTCCCTGCATCCAGCATTATTTCCAACAGACATTTGGGCCCCCACAGGAATTCTTAGAGAAGAGAATCGATGGATGCCTGCAGCTTTATGCTCTTCTTGGGAAATGTGCTCATCTGGAAAATTAATGTTTTGTAGCTGGCCCCATTCACTATGACAGCCCCTCTGCCCAATGCCCAAACATCTCTCCTTAATGGAGGCATTTTATTAACACGTTATCATAATCCAGCCATTTCCTAGCCTTGATCGCAATAACATTACAATCCAAGTCTCGGTTCTGGTCCCAATCAATCAGAATAGAGCTGGAAGGGACCTTGGAAGTCTTCTAATCCAACCTCCTGCTCAAGCAGGAGACCCTATACCAATTCAGACAGGTGGCTGTCTAGACTTTTCTTTAAAAACCTCCAGTGATGAAGCACCCACAACTCCTGAAGGCAACTTCTGTTCCACTGGTTAATGGTCCTCGCTCTTAGGAAGTTTCTCCTTAATTCCAGGTTGCTTCTCTCCTTGAGTAGTTTCCATCCATTGCTTCTTGTCTTGCCTTCTAGTGGCTTTGGAAAATAAGTTGACCCCCTCTTCTTTGTGGCAGCCCCTCACACATTGGAATACTGCTATCATGCCATCCCTAGTCCTTCTTTTCTCTAGACTGGAAATACTATAGAAATACTCCTCCATGAAAAGAGAAGTTAGAAATACTTAGAGATACTTAATCCATCTTCTAAGGATCCTTGTTTAAAGTGTTGGGAGACTTGGAAGGGTGAGTGAACTGGTCATTGTCCCTCAATCCAACCTTCCTCCCACGGTAGTTATGACCATAAAATGAGAGGGACCTTCATGTACAATAAGTTCTCAAGGCGTTAGACACATGCAATAAAAATAAATAAAAGGAAATACGCTTATTCAAACATCTCTCATAGCCTTAGATTAAGAAAACTATAAGTCAGCAACTGGCTCCAAGAAAGGGATTGTTTTTTTTGCATATAGACTGAACAAGGAAGTCATTCTTAGGCTCAAAGAATAATTGATGGCACTCTTTCCAACTATTGGACCCCACAATCCAATCCCTACACTTGGTCAATTCTCCCCAAAGTCTTGGATGGCGGTGTGCAATAGGTCTTCCATGGCTTGAGACTAGCAAAGTTTATCAAACACCAAAACATCACCACATAGTGGAAACCAACCAAAGCAAGTCAAGTGGAGGAAAGGGCCCTCTGAGATTTTGTGGGGGGGTGGGGTGGAGTACCTAGGTCAGTGTTTCTCAACCTTGGCGACTTTAAGTCCTGTGGACTTCAACTCCCAGTATCCCAGTATCAACTCCCAGCACAGCTGGCTGGGGGATACTGGGAGTTGAAGTCCACAGGACTTAAAGTCGCCAAGGTTGAGAAACACTGACCTAGTGTTCTTCTGGGGCAGTGGGCCTTATAGTTTCCCCAAGTTCTAAACAGCCTGTTATTTTTCTAGGATTTTTTTTTTACAGCTTTTATGATTCTAAGATAAAAATTCCCTTAAATGGAACTCGATGCCTAATGACTACATGCATGTAGTTTTCTATAACAATGTAGCAGTGCTTTCCTATTGCATTTTTTCAGACTGCTTTTCCAATCTTCAGTCCTACTTTTGCATTTTAGTTCAGTCTGAAGGGGGGGGGAAATCTATCCTAGAAGAAACTCAATAAATAAGAAGTCTTCCTAAGGAGCAATTTCCAAGCTGAGCTCAAGAAACCACCCACGGAAAGGGGATTTAATAGCCAGACAATCAAGAGATTTGGATGTCTCTGATACTGTCAGTTATTATGGTTCCCACCAGAACAGAGCTTATTTTGTTAATACTATCATTTATATTCCCTCTCTGGAACATTCAATTCAGCTAAATCTGGTGACCCTTTGGCTAAGATTTCCCAAAGGAACATAACAAATTAAAAACAATTTCTGCTCTGGGGGAAAGCTGGAAACTGTATTGGGAGAGGGACCAACAGTATCTAGCTGGGAATTCTCAGCACCCAAAAAAGATAATTTCCATAAATTGGGGGAGGCTGAGGTTAATTCTAAATAGGAGAAATTAATTTTATTAATCCAACTTAAATGAAATGCACTCCTGTGGGGCTCCGTGCACTGCAACGGTACAAGGAAATATGCCAAGTAATCCACAGGGTTCACTAGGCCAGTCCAGACTCCCTTTAATTAATTCTCACCAAATGTAATTCAATTACTGCCAAGAAACATTGGGCAGCGGATTTAAATTTGTTGTTAATCTCCGTACTGTAGCAAAAAAACAAAGCAAAACAGAAAACAATTATACCGGCATTTACATTTGATCTTAGCAAGTACGGCATAAGATCCACTGACCTCCAATCCCCCCTCATCTTTATAGATAATGTACAAATAATCGTTCATATAAGACTCTTTTTTCCCCTGTATATACACTCGCAAATCAAACTGGGCTACCTTTGCTACTGAAGAAAAATGTGCATGCTATGAATCAACACATCTAGAAAAGAGAGAAAAAACTGAACACATCAGATACAGTAGAGAGTGCCAGAATTTCTCTCTGTCAGACACAGAACAAAGTCAATCAAATCCTTATAATCCTTGCTACTCTTTTCACATACCCGGTGAATTGATATACATCGATCAATTAGGTTACATGTAGGAGTTTCACTGAGCAGATTCTGCAGTCCAACTGTTCCCAACCCATCCAGCTGCCTAATAAAATGTTATGCTCTAAATCTGGACACTTCCTTTATTATTGCTTTTAGTGCCATGCAGAGGTCTGGATTTGAAGAGAAAAAGGTAATCCAAAGGACCCATAAACATGCATGTCGCATTTGTTTGGTAACCCTTCAAGTTCTCTTTTCCGTGAATCATGCAACAGCTGTGTAGGGGAGCCATGTAAGCCCAGGAAAAAAAACATGGCACCTTTAAGAAGCTGCCAACAGGTGCTACATGCACCCCCACGGATGTTTTGAATCACTTCTCCCTTCAAATTGGATCTCTGCACAGCCCTTAAATGCCAGTCAGGAAAAGTTTCTCATACAATTCTTCCCAGGGGTCCCCCATCCCACCAATGGTAAGGAATTAATGACTGAGCTATAATTTGCTTAACCATGCTTTATTCCGCCATAGATTTTAGACATCAGAAAAGCTTGGTTTGCAACTTTTACTGGTTTAGTCAAAGAACTGAACTCTATCACAACTTTGAAGCGAATCTTCTTTTCATCTCCCTAAGGTGACAGCAGGAGTTTCACCATAACCGAGACCAGCTCCTTCAAGAGAAGGACCACAGTCAGCTCCAACCCACTGAGTTTCTCTGCAGAGCTAGAAAATGCAAAAATGACTAGGCTATGACAGAACTGAGAACTGAACAGGTGCAAAGATTGCTTTGAAGAGACATGTACAAACAGCTATTCTTTATTTGTTCACTGTGGTACAATATCCTATTCTGATCTTACAGAATGTGGAGGACATTCTTTTCAGGGATCTCCAACTCTTCTTCACTCAGATGAAGTCATTGAAATCCCCTTTGAAAATTCCTTCAAGACTGTATCTCTTGGCTTATGTCCAAGAATCTCCCAGGCTCAAAGTCAAATGGAGAACTTTGCCAATCATCCAGGATGTAAATTTCACATTGGCTAATGCCTCTCAGCCAGCAGCTGTGCCAACTTAACCATAACCCAGACCTAAGTTCTCATCCCCAAATCCCTCCACTTCATTGGGTGAAACCCCAATTCTATTAGTTGGTTAGAACAATTCTCTGGCTTTCTTGGGTTAAGTAAATAGTAAGAAGCCAAGCAGCCCCCAATATGCCCAGCAGGAACTAAGTAAGGTCCAGCACAGGCATCCAGACATCTGCCACTGTTGTTGGGAGTCTGTCAGCTTCCCCTCCCCAAGATCCCAGCTGCGATCCCACCTTCTTACCTGGCGCAGGTACTTCAGCAGATCAGTCGCCTCCTCGTGCCTGCCTTGTTTCACCATCCTCAGCATATCTTGGATCAGGACGATCCGGCGATGGTACGGGGGGAGGCTGCCGCCGCCAGACCCCTTGCTAAACTTTTCGCTCGATCGTACTACGAGGGACGCCAAGAAGTTTCCGCGCTCCCGAGAAGGCAAAATCCGTCGGCGGCTGGTGGAGAGGGGACCCTGGGGGCTGCTGCCGCTGCCGGAGGAGCCGGGCAGCGAGCAACCCTTGGTCTGTTTGGCGCCCATACTGGAGGAGCACAGCCCAGCCTTCCTCGCTCTTTCCCGGCCTTCAGGAGGACATCCTGGGCTCCCGCCCAGAGAGAGAAGCTAACGGGAGCAGCCGCAGCGCCGAGAGGACAGAAAGGACGGCGTCTCCGAGCATCTCCTGCCAGCGCAGCCGAGGGATGGATGGATGGACGCCCGCCCTCTCCGGCTCTTCAAGCGGGGCGAGCTGCCTACCAGCCGGGCTGCTCTCGCCCTTCCAGCCTTTCGCTCAAGAACCTCCCGCCCGTCAGCCTTAGCTAGCTCCGGGCGCAACTTCAGGGAAACTGTTGCACATCCGGACCGAGCCCAGAATGGGCGTCGCCGGAGTCGGGAGGAGGTATGTGTGTATGTATGCGCGGGCCGGGCGAGGGGAAATCGCAGCCCAGCCGTTCCGAGCCGCCAACGGCGAACGAGCCAGGCCGTCTCCCTCCTCCTCCTCCTCCTCCACGATCCGCCTCGAGCTGCAACTGGGCTGGGCCAGTCACAACCCCTTCCTGGCTGGTCGCGTCTCTGCCTGCCTGCCTGCTTGCCTGCCTGTCTGCGCGCGCCCGTCCTTCTGGCTACCCTCCTCGCTCCGCCTGCCGAAGGGGGCGAAAATGCACAGCCGCCGCCTCCTGGTTTGCCCGTGAGCACGTGACGAGCGTCTCTCTGAGCACGTGCAGAGCGCGCGCCGTTTCTCTGGCGCGAAAGGGGCGAAAAAGCATCGCCGGTGGGAAGGCGGGGGCGGGGGGGAGGAAGAGGGAGTGACCGGCGAGAGAATTGCTTCTTCCCTCTGGCTTGTGCGCCGCTCGCCGTCTCCGAAAAGTACCGCCTGGATCAGCTGCTGCAAGCTCTGCCTCTCGAACTCCCCACACGAAGCCAATTTCCCGCCGTACGGATCGGACTGGAAAGGGAGGCGGGTTGCTGTGGAGCAGCGGATTCCACACACACACACCCCGCTTCGATTTCAAAAAAAACAAAACAGGTTGAAGCCTCTGGAGTCGTAGAGAGGAGCCATTTGGACCCATTTCCCACATAGAAGAAGACGCGGGGGGGGGGGGCACAAAACCCTTCCTGTGCCTGACTATTTCCTGAGGGCCACAGAACTAGCATGTGTAATTGAATTAAACATTCTGTTTTCTTCTGAAACTTTTCTTGGATTTATCCATGGTTGGCCTGGGGGGGTGTTGAAAATCTCAATAAATCGCATGCCAGCTGATATCACACATTGGCAGTTTTGATGCATACTTTGAGTGACAGGGAGTCACAGCAGAGGCATGAAAGAGCCACGTGTGGCTCCAGAGCCCCAGGTTGCTGACCCATGGCCTTGGGGAACAGGGGAGGGTGGGCACCTGCCAAGGGACTTCAAGACAAGAGGTGGTATATTGAGTAAGTCCAGTGACTATGGAAGATTGACAGTCATCCAGGTCATGGTCCCAAAGTGGGTTTTCAAAAAGCAACTGGACTTTGTTGTTGTTTTTCTTGAAGCTTTTGGGATGAGAAACGAAACATCTTCAAGGAAAAACAAAGTCCAGGTGCCTTTTGAAAAACCACTTTGGGTTAGGTCCAGTGAGTTCGGCCAACCCGCTAACCCCGAGTTGCAGAAAAAAAATGGGTACTTTGTTGCAGGAGTCTTTAGGCTGAACCACTTGGTTCGATTGCTAGGAAAATTTTTGGTTTTCAGCAAGATAACCAAAATGATCCAAACTCATTTTAGCCTAGATTGGCCTACTATCACTCTGTGCATATCACTGTAGGAAGTTATCACCCAGCCCTCTCCCAGAAAAATGAAATATCCTAGGAAATATTGAAAAGGCAGAATATTTCTCTGGATGTGAAAAGAAAGAAACATGTCTAGTGTGAGCTAGTTCATTTTACATAATAAAGAGTTCTCCCCTTCAGCTCCAGGGGGATGGGATTAAGACATGATAATATTGGCCCTTTACCCAACTCCCC